CGTTTTTTACCTGGTAATTAGGTTTAACATTGTGAATAATCCGGATACAATGAAAACGTTCGTACGGATAAGTGCTGTATACAAAGACCAAGATATACTTGATACTCCTTGTCGGCCAAAATGTACCTGGTTCCTTATATCTCCGTACAAAAAGGCCGGTTGGTTTAAATTCTATTACTCGATCAATTTTTCACCAATCGAAAATCTGAACCGTAACTTCTGTTGAGCTTATCCTGTTCTATCGTTATTACGGTATATTTTCCTAAATAATATCAATACAAAGTTGGAATAGCTGTCGAAAGTCAAGGCATTTATTTGTAGTCTTTAGGTGACTTGCACCATATCTCCCCGTAAACACAACGGTAATGTTGCCTGTCAAATAGTACTACAGTAAGTATTAATACAAAGTTGGAATAGCTGTCGAAAGTCAAGGCATTTATTTGTAGTCTTTAGGTGACTTGCACCATATCTCCCCGTAAACACAACGGTAACGTTGCCTGTCAAATAGTACTACAGTCGAGTTTTGGTGCAAGGCGACTTTGTATTCGATTCCGCTTTTCAAAACGTATAACGTTACGTATGGACTTCAAATTTTGGCCGCCAGTTACGATGCTTTTTGGAAAAGTATCCACTGCATTCCACTAGAATACCGTTGCGTATTTTTAATATAAAATAAGTATGTCATAATTTAGAAAGATAACATCGAAATATAACATCAGGTTAACATAAGCTAAGGGCCTGGTCGGGGAATGTTTTCGTTCGTGCTTCTGCCAAACCAACATAGACAAAAGAGATTTGATTGGCCCAAGTTAACCGGTTTCCGGATACATTTCATGTCTTATGTGCTGTAGCACCCAAAAATTGGTGTATCAACACACAACATATGACGAGAGCCACTTTGTTGAGAATCGGAGCACCTTCATAATCTAATGCAAATTGACCTGGTTGAAAAAACATATCTATTCCAAAGGGATGAATCCTAATATTAATACAGTAGTTCGATGTTGTTGGAGCGACCACAAATAGAGTGAACACTTCTCTCAAAAATCTTGTTTATACCACCACTTCTGGAGCTGGAGTGTTGGTCGTGCGATGCTGGCGGGCATGGTTTTGTCGGTGGTCTGAGTGGTCGTGCAGGCGGGTGGGTTGGTGTAGTGCCCGTGCCCGTGGTGATGGTGGTGCCACGTCCGCAGCACTACCATGTCCTCCATTCCTGGCCTCTGCCAAGGCAGTCTCTCGAGATTGCTGTTTTGCCACCACTTGTCGTGGTGGAGTGTTGGTGCCTCGTCGGTGGCGTGCGATGTTGGCGAGCATGCTTTTGTCGGTTGTCTGAGTGGTCGTGCAGGCGGGTGGATTGGTGTAGTGCCCGTGCCCGTGCCCGTGGTGTTGGTGGTGCCACGTCCGCAGCACTACCATGTCGTCCATTTCTGGCCTCTGCCATGGCAGTCTCTCGAGAATGCTGTTTTGCCACCACTTCTCGTGGTGGAGTATTGGTGCCTCGTCGGTGGCGTGCGATGTTGGTGAGCATGCTTTTGTCGGTTGTCTGAGTGGTCGTGCAGGCGGGTGGATTGGTGTAGTGCCCGTGGCGTTGGTGGTGCCACGTCCGCAGCACTACCATGTCGTCCATTTCTGGCCTCTGCCATGGCATTCACAGTACATGAGTCAACACATAGGAACATAGCATACATGTCATCACATTTGACTTAATGGTCTCTTGTCGGTTAAATCTAAGAGCCAAAGCTTTCGTGGTACAGGTGTAGATGTGTTGTTGGACCCATGACCTAGTTTTTTGTTTTACACATTTCCGAATGAAGTGTACGTGATGGATATAATCCTTCATGTCCGTGATCGCACAAGGAGGGTCTTCCGACGCCACAAAAGCAATTCCGTAGAAGACGTGCACTGTCCAGCCCAAGGAGCGACAAGTCGGAGGTGTAAATGACGTACACTCCAGGGCCGTTGTCGTCGAGGATGCCGCATATGTAGGCCATCTTGTCCTTGCCCACAGGTCTGTTGCGCATGCACGATTTGTTGTAAACGGAACGGTCGATGCTAAAACCCCTCACCATGAACCAATCCACGAGTCGTTTGGCTTCCTTGACGTCGAAACCTTCGGTCGCCGAAAGAACCTTTGACCTCAAAAATGATGCCACTTAGTCCTGCGAGCATGACAGAGAGAGACCTAAAAGATTCGCCGCCGTGCGTACGGCTTGTTCAACACAATCCATACCAGATCGAGCGCCAATCTTGCGGTTGTAGTTGACGTCAGCTTTTTTGAAGTCGCCCAGGGACAGAGTGGGATGTCCATGATGGCCTGGTTTAGTAGCCACGTAGGCCTCGTAGCGGTCCACAACGTCAAATATACGAGGTTGTTGACATTCATCGGGGTGGCCACGGTATAGCCACTTTGATTTGCCGTCCGGGTACAATCCTTCATACATCCACAGGCCCTGCCTGCCTCGACGTGGATCACCGGACGTCCACTTCCTCCGCGACACGACGTCGTTCAGAGTGGGTGGCTCGTCGTCTGATGCAACACAGTCTGCACTTGAACGGGCGTCCTGTAGCATGCGTCGGGGGGGGCAAGACGAGCGACAGCTCAGGGACACGAGGTTTCTTCGAAACGCCGGTACCACCTTGAGTTGGAGCACTTCGCATATGTGGAATTGCTTTTGATCCAAGCGACACTTCTTCAGATGACATTATTCCTTCGATCGCTTGACAACGAAGCGAAGTGCTGCTCGGGGTCAAGAAGGAGTTGGACATCGTTCTCGAAAATAAAACCACGTTGGATTCGGATACATAGCACTTGAAAGTAGAAGTATATTTTGCTTATGTAATATCTACAATTGTGTATACAAGCAAGCAAAAATCAAGTACAACGAATATAGTTAATGCATGGGTCCACTGTATTCGACACCTGACACTAACCTGGATAGCTGGGTAAGCACATTAAATGTAAATTCACCAGCGTGAGGGTTAGTAGCAGGTATCGAACCCGGGACTTTCTGCATGTGAAGCAGAGATCATACCATTAGACCAAAATGTCACCAACTAAGGCTTTACAGTGAGAATGGTGTCGTTAACCTCCCCGCGTGGTCGTGCTGATTGTTGGGCGCCATATTTCAATCCCCCACACGCCCGTACTGCCAGGACGACAAGTATCGCTACCTCGGCGTTCACACCAGAGCCACAAATTCATCGATCAATCACATGATCATCGACCTTCCCGTGCCACCTTGGATGACCTACCATCACGCTGGCGTAGAGCCATCACTAAATCAATCACTGATAAGGCCAAGCCGTCGCGTCGCCACTGGAGCAAGCACTGCATCGATAACCGGCACGATCACACCATCACAGGCAGACATAGCCGTCTTGTACGAGCCATCTTCGACAGTACGAACCCATTATCACTTTCACTTTGATGCGAGTTCCCGAACTATATCGATCACTAACACGCTTACGGATAAGCCCGAGCCGGCTTTGATGCGAGAACCACCACTACATCTCACTAGCACTGTCACCGATAGATTCCAACCACGTATAAAGCAGTTAACACGCAAAAGCTGTTTTATCTAGCCTTTATTATCATTGTTTTATCCATCCTTCATGATCATAATTCGCTCGTAGCTAAACACGAAAAAACAGTAAGCAAGGCCAAATTCTCAATATCCATGAGAAGTTACAATTGCACCTTGCGCTTCTTCCATGCTGCTGCGAATGGCATGGACATGGATACCAAATTGAGTAGGATTCATCGTTTCGTGCGATTGCTTTAGTTTGTTCAAGGCTTTTCGAATTTCTTGTTGTTCGTGTGTTGAACCGCGCATCTATTACGACATGAGTACAATACGTATTATACATATCCATCCAGAGCAGTACTTGTTGATTGTTCATTTTTCACTTGTGATTCTTGTAGAATTTATGCTTGGCTAAGAATTGATGCCATGATGGAAATGAGTGCAGTTGAAACGTACATTGACGCCATGACTGTATTTCAAACGCATGCACCTATAAATAATCAACGGCAGTTGCGATTGCTCTCGATCAAGTACTATCGCTTCGTCAGGAGGAGAAATGAATGTGGACGCCCGCACATGGGAAGTAGTTGGAATGTTTGACAACCAAGCTGATCTCTGTCGCTACAGATCATCGCAGCCGACGATGAAGATATCGCACAGCAATGTTGTCCGATGCTCGTTTGCACACAGTGACGGCGACGACTTGCGTGCATTCCAAGTCCCTCGATGCGCAGTGTGTACACGTATTGCATGGCGACACCATGTAATCCCTTAGTTGAGGGGATGCCAATCGAGGATTCCGATCATCGATGCCAAGCAGCGTACCATTGGACCATTTGTGGTGTACTGGGAACCGTACAAGTGTGGAGGATGGGGGTGCACAACGCAAACAACGAGATACAAAGAACGCCCAAAGTACGTCGTGTTTGCATTACACCATATTCCACAAATCCGTAGGTCACACCAGAAATGAAGGTTGCGTTTCGAGGGTGTTGCCCACGCTGCAACAAATCCAAGGTGCAGTGAAAACCATTCGATGCAAAGAGTTCGACAATTTAACACGACAGAGGCGGCATAAGCCGAACTGGCAAAATGGGTGGAACCCTAACGAGGCAACGTTGGCGATGCCAACAGACCATTCGCTTTTGGCGTCGATATCATTGAAGATCAACTTCGACCACACCTTGGTGATGGTGGTGAGGAATCGTTTCGCTGCGGTACAAAGGTAATTTGTTTACTTGCATGGCCTAATACCCTATGTTAGGGTTAACAACGTTTCGCCTAATGGACAAGTATCGAAGTGCCCAAGACAAATCTTCTACTCCACATTGACAGCACATTCAAGACCAACAAATCTGGCTATCCGGTCTTCGTCGTCGGATACACTGACTTGGGGGGAACTTTCCACGTGCTTTGTATCGCTATCACTTCTCAACGACGCGAGCCTGATGTTGCGTGGGTGCTTCAGATGTTCGCCAAGACGCATTTACACGGTTGTTCGAGTATGCATGGAATCCTGCAATTGTCATGGGCGATGCTGATGATGCCCAGTTCAACGGAATTGAGGTCTCATTGCAAGTATTCCCAGCGATTCAATACTTGATGTGCTTTTTCCACGTCATGCAGAAGGTAAACATCAACTATTTCTGCAGCATTAACAGATCTGAGCTGTTAGTGCTGGGAACATGGCCGCCAAATGAAGTGGAGCGAGTGGGACGCGGTTACAGAGGACATTTACTTCTTGCACATGTCTTCGAGCCGCGACATGTTGGATGTAAGAATGCGCAATGTCCACATCAAATGGGGACAAGGAAGCGTGACGATGCAACGCTTCCGCAACTACTTTTACCGCCAATAGCTACCCCCCCTTCTAAATAACGACCAAGTTGCGATTGGATCAAGATTTTGGAAGTGGCAGATCTTCCACAGCGCACAAGAGACTGCACTGACAAACAATCCAAACGAGCAGTACAGTGCAACGATAAAAAGCGTACTTTTATCCCAAATTTGATTAAGCTTGTTACTCATGATTTCTGTTAGGTGCTGAAGCGACGAAAACTGCACATTCCACACCTCCTCCAAACCTTCGCCACACTCTTACGCAAGGAAAGCGAAAGAAACACCACAATCGCACTGGCTCCGAAGGTCAACGAGCGGCTCCGACGTCACTACGCGATGCTTATGAAGCAAGGACGGCTCCGACTTCGAAGCGCAGGACCTGCATTGTTGGGCCTATGGAATGTCAAGCATCTTGCACGTGCTCACGACGCTGATGACGACGATGAAGAGGAATATTTCAGACGCGACGTGGATCCAAGCAACAGCAAGATGAGAATCAACATAAACCTGCGGCGACTTGAAAGCATGCACCAGCCAGAAGCAGGATGGGTTGTGAATCCCGATGTAGCTTCGAGTGTTTGTGGATATTGGCAGCGCAGTGGTATTTGCGTTCACGTCATCGCTGTGAAACAACACCTTGGCCAAGAATTACCTGGAATGCCGCGACCGCGATGCCGCCTTGTCAATCGCAACGTTCGACGTGGATGTCGGCATATTGTTGTATTCAACCGACGCGGTCGCCCAAATGCAATAGGTGGAGCGCTTGAGGTTGAGTAAATTAATTTCAATCCTGTGTAATGCACATACTAGTAGGTGTTGAATAAATACTCGAACAATCAACTCTCATTACGATGTAGTACTACTAGTATAACACTTCCACGAATTAGTTCATAGTACTACAGTAGTACTTTTTATTTCTAGGAATTGTAATAAGAAGTGCTTTTGATTCGATGCACTGAACACCATTGATACTCTAAGTGCATCTCCAACGCTAATATGTTGCAGTTCCTATTACATCCGACTAGTACTAACTGTAATTACAAGAATACGTCCGTTGATGGGCACTGCCACCAACGAAGACATCGGCACCATCACCATACATCAAAACCATGTCCACCACCCGATGATGCACCGGCATATCCAGCCAAAAAGAAGTGACGTCAAAAACGTCATCCTCGAGAGGAGGTTGGAAATCAACGATTGCAGGAATGCACAACACCATAGAACCACAGACCATCAGACCACCAACACCCCAACACCCACAGGCGCTTCCACCAACCAATGCGTCGGCTCGAACACCGAGACGAGTGACTAAACAAATTCCATCATTGTGAAATACCAGTGTCAACGCACTGCAAGTCCAGCACGAGTTGCGTTGGCAAACGTAGCAGCCTTGTGATGATGACCATGAATGAACGCCGGAATGAATGTACTTGAAATTGACACTGACAGTGAATACAGTAAGCTTATTTATTGGCTTTCAAGAGGATGCATGTTTTGAAGGAGTATTCCCAAGCGTAAATCGTACTTTATTGACACCACACAGCAATTTGGGTACAACTCGATAAGGAGGTATACATACTGTAGAGTTTACTCGGAAAATTAGTTTGAACGGTTTTCAGTCTTGGGTAAACGGTATTCAGATTTGTTGTTTTTCAGTGTTAGTCTATGTACAGGCTGTATGTCTGTATCTGCTTGGAGGGGAGGGAAAATAGCTCAGTGGTAGAGCATCGGTTTCTTAACTCAAAGGTGGTGGGACGGACGGATAAATCCTTGCAGCAATAATCCGGGAGCCCACTCCTGGGGAATCCGGATATCAAGGGAAACGAGGACCGAACTTCGAAGAAGAACGGTCGAAGCACGAGGTACTGTATGAAGCGTTGAGCGAAGTAAAAACCGAAGATTACACACCGCTACAGTTGGCGAAGCGGTTCCACAACATGCGGTTCTAGTATCGGCCCAGGAATGTCTTAACACTGCAAAAAAGATAATCCAAATTCAATTAATCTGTATCTGCTTGATGATAAATTGAGTTTGGATTAAGCTTATCATTTGTTTATGACATCTGTTTGATAAGGCAGGCAAGAAGGCAAGACAGGAAAAACGTTAAGGAAAGCTGAATACCATGCAAATTAAGCTGAAAAACGTTAAGGATTTCTACCACTGCTAAAAGGGTGAGTACCACTGTTAGTACCACTATTAAACAGGCCGAATGATTACGTTACCTTGTTCACCGTGCAGGCTTTCAAACCTTTCCACATGTAATGCATTCATTACTTTGTGAAGGTTATTTGAAGACACGGCATCCTTTCGCAAGCATTATTTTATGAAGGTTATTCGAAGTCATACACTTTGTCGCATACATTACATTAAAAAGGTTATCCGAATGTAGGCATTACATAGGATTCGACAGGTAAATCCCATGGACCTCAATTGGACACATCAATTGAGCGGGGACTACGCTCTTCTAATTAATTCTTGCTTATTCGTCCCACCCTTAGTATCCGGTGGAAAACGTGGGAAGGGGCGTTGACCAATATCCTTCGCCGGGTTGGGCGACAACCCGGTCACTAAATGAACAAAACCTCTATGTAGATATAATTCGTGCCCCCGACAATTGAACCCGACATGGTTTTGATTGGACGAATCAGAATACAGAGAACGTACTCTCATTGGCTTTTTTCAAAAACACCAGACTTTGCAAAATAAGTACCCAAGATTTCATTACAATCTTCCCTCACGCTTTCTCTTACGGACTTCATCCAAGGCATCACTGAAATTGCTTGTGTGGCCCTCATACGCCGCCTCAAACATCTCATAACTGATGTACTTTGAAAAGGCAAGCGACAGGGTCAGGCGCTCCGAGTACTTTCGCCGATTGGCTCTGATCATTTCCTTGCCGAACGAGCGCACAGGCTGAAAGAGGCCCACAGCAGCGTCCCCTGTAAACCATTGAATCCACGCGTCTTTGGCTGACCTTGCTGTAGGGATAACAGTATGCGTGACAAACGCATCGAGGGTAGTCTGCCGTTGAGACTTCACAACAGAAGCAGGCAGCGATCGGCAAGACTCTGTGGCGGCATGAATGCAGCTGGCATGCGGTGAGGTACCATGGTTATTCAGACGCTTTACAATTTCATATAGAGCATCTACTCTCACTGAGCCGACGTTGCTATCATCGGTAGCCGTAGCAACTTTGACGCGCAATAGGTTTCTGGGGTCAACTTCGTTAGTAATACTCTGTGTAATGAGGTATTCACAACACGTCTTTGCATCTTCCCAACGGCACCATGCCATCAGCTCCCTAAAGTTGAAGCGCCGTTCGGGAGACTCAAAGACCCGATAAAAGCTGCCGCCCCGCCTCATGCTGTGTAAAGTTATCCCTAGATTTTTTTTATAATTTTGGAAAATCAAGGAAAATTGGATACTAACATAAATATAGATAAAAAATTACTAGTTAGAGCACAAATAATTACCTGTTGGTAGCTCAGAGCATCTTTCAACGGCGTTTTTGATGAACAACCGCACTTGATTTTGCTCAAGGTTCTTACCAGTTCAGCCTCGGTGTACCAGTGGCCTCGAGGGTGTAAGCAGGGAACACAAATGACTGAGTTGCCAAGTTTGGACTGACACGCTTGACGAGACCAAGGTAGTCGCGAAACAATCCGCAAACACGTGGACATGGAAATGACTTCTCGTCCACGAGGTTTATACCTGGCAGTCGCTTTGCACGCTCGCCTTCTTGTGCCAACGAAGTCTGATCGATACATACTCGGTGTGCTCATCTTGGTTCATAGCAACATCGTTCCAAGTAAGACTCAACATCTCGCTGATGCGGAAACATCCAAGATAGCTGGCACTGAGCAAGAAGCGGAACAGAGAACCAAGAAAGGGGTGGGCAGTTGACAACGAGTTGATCAAGCACGACAACTCAAACACCGAAAAAGCGTTTGCCTTGTTCTCGTCATCAATGTTGTGCTTTTTGTTGTATTTTTGCAATCCCACAACGTACTGCTAGGATTCAACATCGCGGGCTGGGTTGGGGTCCCTTTTGAGGTCAGCGAAGTAGGTAACCAGAGCTGTCTTTGCAGAGTCAACAGTCAGTGCCGTCCCTCCAAGGCTGTAAAGGTGGTGGAAAAATCCGTGCAGGAGCTGTGCGTGGTTCAATTGCAAGCACGTTCTCGCAGAACGCGAAGAACTGTCTTTGGTACGTTTTGTACGTTCGTAGCGTCGAAGTTGAGCGAAATGAACCTTGAATTGTCGCTTTGGATGGTACGATGGTTGCGCCCATGATGTCGAATGATTAATTTGTTCTGTGCAAGATGAAGCGACGCCCTGTATTTTTAGTTTGATATTCCATAACCGTCCAATCATAGGCTGTACATGTTCAATGTAAATGATATGTTTTCACCCGACAAGTAGGTCGTCCAATCAATGTATGAATGTTGTCGGTAAATTGTCGGGCCTGCCAATCCCATGCCCTGAAAATTGTCGGTTCCCAGGTATATGTATACTGAATCTAGAATAAAATGCTTCAGTATTCCGGATATGTGATATCAAGCGGATCGTGAAGCCGAAATCGGCGGGGGGGGCAAAATAGATGTCGTGCAA